CTGGGCCTCAGAGCTGGCATCGGCCCACCGCCAACTCGTGAGGATCAGCTGAGCTGGCAGAATGGTAGGATCGCGGGAATGGAGTCAGTGATCCTGTACTAACTATGTGTGGGGTCAGATGGGTACCAGGCGTATCAGGATCACTTCCTAGGTCATACACCGTGCTGGGCACCTGAGGTTAACAGAAGACTGAATGTCACCTGTCACTGCACAAGGAAAAAGTGAATAGTAGAATCAGGAAATGTTCCACAGAATCTGGACCATGTTGAGCAACGTCTTACTAATGCTCATAGCTACAAGGAAAGCTGGTGAACTTCATGAAAGAGTTCGAATGTGTTTTTAAAAATGATTTTATTATTTTCAAGCGCTAAGCTGTCCTATAAAAAAAGATCTATCAACACAAATAAAGAGGATTTGCCAGTAAAAATTAAAAGTCTTTGAAGACTTACAGTAAGGTTTTAAAAGCACAAACCACTTAGGAAAATATATTCTTAGATTTTGAAATGACATGGGAAAATATCTACTTTAAAAAAACACTTATTCGTTTGCTTAATATTTGGGAGAATTAATTTTTTATGTTATATATATATATATATGTTAAAAACAGTTTTGATAATAGATTAATTTTTAGACTCCTAAAAGAATATTGAATGCAGTTAATACCTCTTTTGTTATAAATAAGGTTGCAAACTCCTAAGGGGGAAAAATTCTTAATTATGTAGTGATTAAAAATGAAGTATATAGTCTCTGACCTACCTTTAATTTTAAAATGTTGAAACTTGTACTTTATTTCTTCATTAGCCTATGTTATTAAAAGATACTTTTCGGGCCAATATTGCTGCTGGCTTGGGATGTCGATGAAAATTTAGTCTTATGTCTACTTTATTTTCCTCCAGTGTACTTTTTTATTTTTCGAGTATATTTTTATTGCTTTCAGGGAGGAAGGGAGAGGGAGAGAGAGATAGAAACATCAATGATGGGAGAGAACCATTGATCAGCTGCCTCCTGCACGCCCCACACCGGGGATCGAACCATGACCTCCTAGTTCGTAAGTCAACACTCAACCACTGAGCCATATTGGCTGTGGGCCTTCCCGTCTACTTTTAAACAGACTAGGATTGGCACATGTGAACTAAAAAAAAATAAAAGTAAAACCTCAAAAATGTGCTCAAACACCAAAAATAGAGAAAGTCCTTTGAAAATGCTCAGCCTAACATTTTTGGAATTTATTCTTGCAGATCCTGAATGGTAATAGAATTTATTTAAAACTCTTCTGTGATGTAGACGGTTGGCATTTAAACTTGGACGCTCGTTCGGCATGAGAGAGCGACTAAAGCAGTGATGGCGAACCTTTTGAGCTCGGCGTGTCAGCATTTGAAAAACCCTAACTTAACTCTGGTGCCATGTCACAAATAGAAATTTTTTGATATTTGCAACCATAGTAAAACAAAGACTTGTATTTTTGATATTTATTTTATATATTTAAATGCCATTTAACCAAGAAAAATCAACCAAAAAAATGAGAGGAGACACGCGTGTCGTAGGTTCGCCATCACTGGACTGAAGTGTTGGGGGTCTGATGGGAAGGAAGACACTGGGCTATAGCTAGTCCCGGGATATTCCACCAGCCGCTTGACATCCTGACGTGCAGCCTGTCCGTTGCTGAGTCTCATGTTGCTCGTAGGTGCTGTACCAGGTGGAAGGATTTGTGGACAAAAACAATGACCTCCTCTACCGAGACCTGTCCCAGGCCATGTGGAAGGCCGGCCACACCCTCATCAAGTCCCTGTTCCCCGAGGGGAACCCCGCCAAGATCAACCTGAAGAGGCCCCCGACAGCCGGCTCGCAGTTCAAGGCGTCCGTGGCCACGCTGATGAGAAACCTGCAGACCAAGAACCCCAACTACATCCGGTACTTGTGGTCCCAAACTTTCTGACGGTTCACGGGGGGGGGGGAGCTCCAGGAAGCGTCCTGTCCTGTTTGCTTCAGCCTCAGTAGCCCACGCGGTGGGTAACAAGCGCACTTACAGATCAGATAGCACAGTGTCTTAGGTTTGCTTGAAAAATGCCCCATTGCCCCTTCCTCCCCCCAAATCAGGGATTGAAAACAGAGGGGGGAGGTAGGCATAGATATTTAATGAAATTGGGTTGTTGGCACAGGCGGGTCCCAGCTTTCTGTATTTTTTTTAGTAAGTTACTTAAATATATTGAATAGGGTATGTTCTTAGTTTTAATAAGATGAACAATATGTAAATTTTTGTAAGGGTTCTGCATAAAAACTGGATCATTTGGGGCTTGTTTTATATTAACTCGGAGCGTTGGAGCGAGGGGGCCTTAGTGAGACTCTGGGTTTTGGAATATGTGCCTCCTTCTCTCTGTGAGACTGACAGGCCGGGAAGAGCAGTTATTTCTAAACCGCCAGGATTTTCTCAGAGCAATAGAGATAACTCGGAGAAGGCCTTTGGGCTCTTCTCTCTGCGTCTCGGGCATCTTGGGTCTCCGGTTCCGGGAAGACGGCGAGGGGCAGCGTCGCTCTCTGTGTATCTGGGGAGTGAGATACTAGGTGTGTGTGTCAGGTCAGGTTCCATCCGCACACGCACACCCACGCGCCTTCTATAGCCTGAAAATCCAGTTGCCAGGAGACGGAGTGAGGAACGTTTTTGTGTTTGGCTTGTTTACCTAATATTATCTTAGCAACATATAAGCAGGCAAAATCCCCTGGTTTGATTGCAGTCGGGTTAGAACATATTAATTAGAAAAATCCTGGTTTCATAAGAAGATAACCAGGAACCTTATGATTAGCTTCTTTTCTGATTTTTTTCTTTTAAATGCGTAGCTGTCATCTTTTGGTGCCCTATTAAAAAGGAAGGAAGTACAAGGACATAGAGACAACGTGTTGCTTTCTTTTAAATATGTTTTTGTTGATATTTAGAGAGAGAGAGGAAGGGAGTGGGATAGAGAGATGGGGACATTGATTGGCTGCCTACTGCGCACCCCGTACCGGGGATCGAGCCCCCAGACCGGGCATGTTCGCTGGCCGGGAATCGAACCCGTGACCTCTTGGTTCAGGGATCAATGCTCAACCACTGAGCCACACCAGCTGGGCATGACACCATGTTTTTAATCTTTTCATTGAGATATATACATAATAAAATATGGCCAAGCACATGAGTGTTCATTGTACAGCTTGTTGAGGTTTCACATATGTGTACACCTGTGTGACCCATTCAGACCAAGAGACAAAACATTTCCATTACCAGAAGGTCCCTGTGCCCTTCCCTGTCCCTCCCCTCTCACCCCTCCCCAGAGGTGGCAGCAGGACTGATTTCTGTGAGTGTTCATTGTACAGTGTGTTGAACTTTCAGATATGTGTACACCTGTGTGACCGATTCAGACCAAGAGACAAAACATTTCCATTACCCAGAAGGTCCCTGTGCCCTTCCCTGTCCCTCCCCTCACCCCTCCCCAGAGGTGGCAGCAGGACTGATTTCTAACCAGAAGTTCTGCTGAGTGTCACGTGAAGGGAAGCATGAAATGTGTCCTCTATGTCAGACTTCTTTCACTCGGCGAAAGGGCAGTGGGACTCATCAGGTTATTGTGGGAGAGGGAGAGAGAGACAGACACATCCATGATGAGAGAGAATCACTGATCGGCTGCCTCCTGCACCCCCACTACTGGGGATCGAGCCTGCAACCCGGGCATGTGCCCTGACTGGGAATCGAACCCGGGACCCTTCAGTCCGTAGGCCGACAATCTATCCACTGAGCAAAACCAGCCGGGGCAGGATTTATTTTTTTTTATTGCCGTGTAGGTAGTGTCTTAATTTTTAGGCTTTTGGAAAATGATGTGAAATAATTTCAGAAGAAATGACCAGGTTTCCCAGGAGTGATAAGTAATGGTCTCTTCCCTTGTGAAACCCAGACGGATGATATCCCTGGAGACAGAGCTTAACGTCTCGGTTCCCTTTCAGGTGCATCAAACCCAATGACAAGAAAGCAGCTCACATCTTCAGCGAGGCCCTGGTGTGCCACCAGATCCGCTACCTGGGCCTCCTGGAGAACGTGCGCGTGCGCAGGGCCGGCTACGCCTTCAGGCAGGCCTACGAGCCGTGCCTGGAGCGGTACAAGATGCTGTGCAAGCAGACGTGGCCTCACTGGAGGGGGCCGGCGAGGTGAGCGTTCGCTGCCCGTGCTTAGTGACGCAGTCTGAGAGCACACGGTCACCCGTGTGATTCACCTGCTCCCGGGCAGAACAAGTGTATGAAACACTGGATGGGATCTCTGCTTCGTCCCCTCTTCCACCCGGGAGCATTCTGTGCTGATCCGTAATTAATGATAGAAGTCTCAGTTTTCTTTAAGGTCCGAACAGGGCTTACAGATCCACATTGGCCACTTGCCTGTCGGTAGGGCGTTAACGTGTGTAAGTCAGGAGGGTCCATAATCAATCGGTGCGTTTGTGTGGAATCGTGGAAGGGTACAGTTGGACGGGCATGTTGGATCACTGCTCTCAGCCCCGCCCCCCAGAGTGGGGAGCATTAACCCCAGAGACAGTCGGGGGGTGGGGGTGAGGGTCCCACTTTTTACCCGGGTCTGCACCCCTTGGGAGCAGCTAGAGTCCAAGGTGTCGGTGTCTCTGCTGGCAGAGCTAGGTGGGAGGCTGTGGGAGAACGGGGCCACCTTCAGAGGCGTATACATAATAAAATGTAGGTACGCCTCCCCGGCCCTGGCTGGCACTCGCCCATCTAGTCTCAGACGGAGCCTGGGCCACGGCAGGCCCCTCCCTGGGGCAGCCCCCAGCGCTCTCCATGTGCTGGTGGTGGAGGTGGGGTGCGGGGTGGGGGGTCGCTGCCAAAGCAAAGTCAGGCCTTGCCTGTGAGCGACCTTCCTTCTGCTTTTACCGGTCAGTGAAGTCACCCCTTTTCTTTTGTTATTTTCTATATATTTTATTGATTTCAGAGAGGAAGGGAGGGGGAGAGAGAGAAACATCAATGATGAGAGAGAATCATCAATTGGCTGCCTCCTGCACACCCCCTACTGGGGATCGAGCCCACAACCCGCGTGTGCCCTGACTGGGAATCCAACTGTGACCTTCTGGTTCGTAGGTCGATGCTCACCACCGAGCCACGCCAGGTGGGCTGCCCTTTTCTGCGGGCGGTAGAAACTCGCGACCGCTCCAGGAAGCCGCGTGCCTGCTCTGCGGCCTCGGCAGGACGTGGGGACTGTCCCGGGGGCTGTCCTTTCGCTGTGCCGGTGTCACCGGTGCACGTCCCTGGGCCTGGCCTCTCACGGGCACCCCGGCAGCATCAGACACTCCCCCGCATCCCGGGAAGATAAGCTCCAGGCGCGGGGTGTGGTCTCCGATGGGTAACCGAACACCTGAGTAACGTGGGTCCTGGTGCTGGTTCCGTTCCCAGGACTGACCTCCGGATGTCACGGTCAGTGTGCACCATGACACACAGGCCAGATGTCTGACCGCTGCCTGGTGCTCGGCCCCCAGGTTGTGGGTGTTTAGTTGTAAAGACTGATGTGGAAGCTGGGGTCCAGGACAGAGAGGTCAGCCATGTCCAGGCCTTGCTCCCGCCCTGTGAGGCCCAGGTCCCATGCAGCCCGTCGTCTGGCACTTAGCACTCCCTCTCGGGCTTTGTCCACACCCCGATGGGCAGACGCGATGTTTAAAATGTTCTTAAGACTCGGCGGAGTGAGTTAAAAATAGATCTGAGCCTCTCACACACCCCCCTGGCCTGGTGGGTCCATCGCTGTGGGTATATTGGATACAAGTGTTGCTTCTGCGAATGAAATCGAGACCTTGGCCATCGTACCTCATTTTCTTGGAATATGGAGTTCTGAACCCAAATTTGCTCTGTCAGCATCTCCTGGACTTGGTTTAATTTGTGGAGCTCCGTCTTGATTCTTCGATAGAAGGACACTCCCTGAAAGAGCGATTGTACTACTTGGGAATGCAACTACTGTTTGGTGCCACTGGGGATCTGATAGCATGATTTCAGATCAGATAAACTGTTTCTGTGACTCAGAACACTCACTGTTTTTATTGTTTTCTAGGGCTGGTGTGGAGGTTTTGTTTAATGAATTGGAGATTCCTGTGGAAGAATATTCCTTCGGTCGATCGAAGATATTCATCCGGAACCCGAGAACGGTATGCAGTTGAAACCTTTCCATTCTGAACGTACGTCCTGATCACATAGACGGGTCCTCAAAGTCTGTTTCACTTGGGGATGTGACCCGAGATGCTGCCCAGAACGCCCCATTCTCGTTTTATCTCGAATGCCCAAGAGGATGGGCACGTGAGGGGTCATGGCAGAGCCTGTGTGTTTCTGATGAGACATCCATGTCTTTGACCGGATAGGCTGTCCAAGAGAGAAATCATAAAGAACCTGTTCATGCAACAACAAAACCTGGCTAATTCATAGGAATTGGAGATCAACTCAGTCTGCATTTGTAATATCTGCATTATTTCATAATCTAGGGAAAGACCACCCTATTATTTAGAAGTCCATGAAGGCACTCAAAATTTTTTTAAGTTAAAAAGAACATTTGAAATTCTACTTGGTAGGGCTCTAAGGGAGTCTTTCTATGAATGAGTAGACTGGGATGAAGCGTAGTCAGTGTAACAGTTGATTGGCGATTTGGAAATTTGGAGAATTTGGAAAGGGTTGCAGTTGTTTACGAGAAACGTTGCCAGCTCCTTTCTTTGATGGATAAACGCACCCTCAGGATGGCATGCAGGCAGACCCGAGCTGAGCTCAGCCCTCCTCTGATTCATCGGAAGTGCCGAGCCACCAGAATCTAAATGGCGGATGCTGCGTGAATCGTCAGAATCGTTTTCCCGTGGGCTGTGGCCCGTGGTATCTGTAACGGAGACAGTCATCCCTGTTTTTTCTCAGTGCGTGGCCTCCACCAGCGGGCCCTCTGACCTCCCGAGCACTTCTGTCTGGGATGCCACGAGTGTGTGCTGGATGAGTGATCGACCCATCTCTCCATTTCTCCTTTCTCCTCAGCTCTTCAAGCTGGAGGACCTGCGGAAGCAGCGGCTGGAGGACCTGGCCACGCTCATCCAGAAGATCTACCGCGGGTGGAAGTGCCGCACGCACTTCCTGCTGATGCGCAGGAGCCAGATTGTGGTCGCCGCCTGGTTCCGGAGATTCGCCGTGAGTGCCGCGCCGCCGCCATGCGCCGGGCTCACTGCCGATACGCCTCACGTGCTGTCTGTGCCTGCCCTGGTCACATGCCTGCCTCTCCCAGCAAGCCCAGGAGACGCATGCCCCTGATGTTCCTTTAGATTTCTTTTTTAATTTTTTTTTAATCCTCACCCGAGGATATTTTTCCATTGATTTCTAGGGAGAGTGGAAGAGAGAGGGAAAGACAGACAGAAAAACAATGTGAGGGAGACACATCGATGGGTTGCCTCCTGCACAAGCCCCAACCAGTGCCCAGGCTGGGGAGGAGCCTGCAACCCAGGAACGTGCGCTTGACTGGAATCGAACCGGGACCCTTCGGTCAGCAGGCTGATGCTCTATCCACTGAGCAACACTGGCTAGGGCTCTGGTTGCTTTTTAAAGACGAGAAAACGAAGCGAAGGCAGGAACCGCTAGGGAACGTGCCCACAGTCCCCCAGCTGCCGGGTGGCCGCGATGGGGTTGGAATGCAGGGCGTCTCCAGTCAGAGCTCACGTTCCGTGTATCGCACCGCCTCCCCCTGGGGTAGATACGGTGGGACGTCTCCCTCTTGAATGTGGTCGTGGACCGAACGAGACTGTGTCCTTTAACCCCTGGACAGTGGTAGAGTCAGCCTTTTTGAAATAATTGGTTCTTCTCCATTTATTGTAGCAGCGCCGAAAATGGCTTTAATCCCAGAAAGCCGAGGCCACATTTTCCTAGAATTGGGGGTTTGGCTAAAGGGTTGGACTTCTTTAGTCCTCAGACATTCGGCCCTTCCTGCTGGCGGGGGGTCTCGCGTGGATGCTGCTGGGAGCTCCCACCTGGGGAGTGCGGCACAGCGAGGGTGCGTGTCCTGGTTTGGGGTTGTTGGGTGTTCCGGTTTCTTTACATGTTGGTTTCCGGGAGGAACATGGGTGATCAAGAGGCAGTTGCACCAAGAGCGACATACTCTTTCCCCGTCGTAATACGAATAAATGATACAATAAACAATAACAGGGGAAGGCGCCGTTCCGCGCACGCAGGGCTGCACACCTGCTTCTGCCCGCCCCCGTGTGAGCTCACATCTCCCCTTCTTCCTGCAGCAACGGAAGCGGTACCAGCAGACAAAGCGCTCGGCTCTGGTGATCCAGTCTTACATCCGGGGCTGGAAGGTGAGTTAAAGGAACGCGCCTTCTCTACTTGGGGCTCTCGGGTCCCTGCAGGGGGCCGCTCCTGCCTGCTGCCCGCGCCCCGAACAGCCGGGCGGGAGGATAAACATCGGCCAGCGGGGGCCCGGTGACCTGACCGCGTCTGGGCCGCTTCCTCCGAACCGGCTTTCTTTTCCAGAGCTTTGTTCTCGAAGCAGGAAGTCCTTGAACTAATTCCGTGCGTGAGCTCGACATCCTCTCGCCCTGCTTATGAGGGAGGCGGTGTGTAGTCCGGGCTGTCCCAGGTGGTCCACACCTGTGCACCCCCCCAGACCTCGCTCTCCCGGCCCCGCGCCTCCTCTGACTTCCTGGCTGTCATCTTCCCACTGCCCTATAATGGATGGTCCGGGATCCTGAGCTCTGGCCATTCAGTGGGGAGAGTGGGTCACAGTGCGCCACCTCCTTGGTCTGGAGGTCAGCAAACTACGGCCCACCGGCCACGGGTGGCCTAACTTTTGTTATTGCACAGCCTGGAAGCAAAGGATGGTTTTTATATTTTTAAAGCATTGTTAAAAGACAAAGAAGATATGAAATGCAAATTTCATATAAATGAGGTATATGTGAACTACAGAGTTCGCACACATAAAGCTTCGTGCTGCACAACCACGCCTGCTCCTCTACCTCCTGTCTGGGGCTGCCTTCGCGCTGCCGCGGGAGCTGATGAGTTGTGACAAGGACACGTGACCTGCAAAGCCAAGCATTCTCGCCAGCGGGCCTCCTACAGGAAGCCTTGCTGACCCCGCTCTGGGTCACAGGTACTCGAGGCCTGTGCTGACCCTGTCCTGTCGGAGGTTGTGTGGGTTGGGCTAAACCCAGAGCCGCTGCTTCAAGGTTGTCCTCTTGCCTGGAACCCCTTCAGAGCAGAGGCCCCGGACGCACCTGGGCATAACCAATGGACACACACAATACGTACACGGGGGCAGGCTAGGAGAGGTCAGTGGGGGAAAGGGGGCATATGTAATACTTCCTTTTTTTAAAATATATTTTTATTGATTTCAGAGAGGAAGGGAGAGGGAGAAAGACAGAAACACCAATGGTGAGAGAGAATCATGGATCGGCTGCCTCCTGAACGTCCCCTACTAGGGATCGAGCCTGCAACCCGGCCATGTGCCCTGGACCAGAATCGAACTCGGGACCCTTCAGTCCGCAGGCCGACTATCCACTGAGCCAAACTGGCTAGGACTATAATACTTTCAACAATAAAGAATTTTTTTAAAAAGAACATACGTCCCTGGGCCAGGGGTCTATGGCACCCGTTGACCTTCGTCTGGGCCCGTGAATAGCCTCAGGGCTGCGTAGTCCTCCCACAGCAAATGCCAGAGACCAAATCCGAGCGTGTAGCCTAAGTGTGGCCGCCGCCTGCGGATGCGTCTTTGGCCTCATTACTGAGTCCTGGGTGGGGTCTCCGTCCAGCGACATCAGGGGCAAGATGCAGAGCCCACCTCCAGCCAGGCCTCCTGCCTCCACCAGATCAGTTTCCAGCAACTGCTGGAGAGAAGCGTGATGGACGTGAGAATTTCATATTAGCAAATCTTTAAACATTTCTTGAATTAAGACTATAGCTACAGTTCTATCCTCAGACAACAATACTGAAAGCGATTGGATGGATTGGGTGGATGATTGGAGATCCTGCAACCTCATTGTGAGGCCTGCTCCTTTTAGCTGATGTGCACCAGCTTGTCTTGCCTGTGGCCAGGTTTTCCCTGTCCCATACGGGGCGTGGGAGGCGGCTGTCCCAGTCTCAGTGGGCGCTGCACTGTCGGGTTGGATGTGTTTTCACTTACAACTTCTCATTGTCCGTTTTGGGCTAATTAGCAACATTCCCTGTACAGTGGGGCCTTGACTTACGAGTGTCCCGACTAACGAGTTTTTCGAGATACGAGCCGGCTCTCGGCCGCTTTTTTGCTTTTGAGTTGCGAGCTAAAATTCGGGTTACGAGCCAGCTTCAGATACCCCACCGCTAGTTGGCGCAGCGAATGTCACAGTGAACGCCACAACATCAGCGCAGCATCCCGTGTCTCACTTGTTCCCTTTATGATTTGACATACGAGTAATTTGAGTTACGAGCTCCATCACGGAACGAATAAAACTCGTAAGTCAAGGCCCCACTGTGTGTGTGTGTGTGTGTATACATATATATATGTATGTATGTATATGTATACACACACACATTACATATTTTATATATCTATATATATAAAAGCCCAAGCGACCTTTACGACTGAACAACCGGAACGACCAGTCGCTATGACATGCACTGACCACCAGGGGGCAGATGCTCAATGCAGGAGCTTCTCCCTGGTGGTCAGTGTGCTCCCACAGGGGAGCGCCGCTCAGCCAGAAGCCGAGCTCATGGCTGGTGAGTGCAGCTGTGGCGGCAGCGGGAGCCTCTCCTGCCTCCCGCTCAGCCAGCCGAGCTCATGGCTGGTGAGTGCAGCTGTGGCGGCAGCGGGAGCCTCTCCTGCCTCCGCGGCAGCGCTACTGAGCGGCGGCGGCAGGCGCAGCAGGCCAGGATGAGCATGAGCTCAGGCTCCTCCCTGGCCACCTGCCACTTGGCACACTGCTAATCCCTTGGGGGATGTCCGACTGCCGGTTTAGGGGGATCAGGCCTAAAGTGGCAGTTGGACATCCCCCGAGGGGTCCCGGATTGCGAGAGGGCGCAGGCCAGGCTGAGGGCCCCCCTCCCCGCCCCCCCGTGCACAAATCTGTGCAGTGGGCCTCTAGTGTGTGTGTGTGTGTGTGTGTGTGTGTGTGTGTATACATACACATACATATTAGATGTATCATTGATTTCAGACAGGAAGGGAGAGGGAGAGAGAAGCATCAATAATGAGAATCCTTGATCGGCTGCCTCCTGCACACCCTCTATTGGGGATCTAACCCACAACCCGGGCATGTGCCCTGACAGGGAATTGAGCCGTGACCTCTTGGTTCACAGGTCGACGCTCAACCACTGAGCCACCGCCGGGTGACCTTTCCCTTTTCTTTGAGCCGTTGGTTCCTCACCTGAGAAGGGTATTATGACTGTCTCTCCGGGTATTTCTCAAGTCCCTGTGGCTTCCGTTGTTGGCTAATGTTGTGTTCATCTGGCTGATTCTGCCCCTTAGGCCCGAAAAATCCTGCGGGAGCTGAAGCACCAGAAGCGCTGTGAGGAGGCCGCCACCACCATCGCGGCGTACTGGCACGGGACGCAGGTGGGCCGGACCGCCCGCCCGGCCGGCGGGACTCGGGGTTCAGGGCGTCAGAGCGAGGGGCCCTCTCCCGGGGCAGGACCGTCCGGCTAAGCTCCTGAGCACGCATGCCTCTCGCGCTCTCTGACGCTCGTTCGGTGCGGGTGGTGGCACGCGCGCTCGTGTTTACGGGTGGCGGTGACCGGTGTCTGTCTGTCCTCCTCTGTCGCAGTCACCTTTCCCGCCTCACGCTCTCTGTCACTCCTTCTCACACGCTTCCAGGCGCGGAGGGAGCTGAGCCGGCTGAAGGAGGAGGCTAGGAATAAACACGCTATTGCAGTGATTTGGGCTTTCTGGCTTGGATCGAAGGTACTGACGCGCCTCTCGTCCCCGCCCCGGGATGGGCAGTCATCAGCCCGTAGCGCTCGCCTATCGGGATGAGTGACTGCAGTTGGCACGGCGCACGCGGTGCACGTCCTCACGGCTGGCGTGAATGGGCCCGGAGCTGTAGGCGGCATTAGTGCCGGGGCAGCTGCCGCATGCATAGATAGGCAGACAAGACCATGCTTACTAATGAGGTGCTAGGGTAGTTGCTGTTTCATTAAAACTCTCAAATAGCTTGCATGTTAGTTTTTCCTCCCCCCCCCCTTCTCCTCTCCCCCTGCCCTGCCACGTACTGGCCGCTCTCTGGAGGGATCCCCCGGGGGGCGAGGGGCATGTGGAGAACACTCGGATTGGGGCCTCCGTGGGTGTGGCAGACACCCCTTTAACGCATGCCTTAGAACATAGTCATCTGCGGATGAAACGATGTTTTCGGCTCCCTGTGGCAAGGCAGCCATTGATGATTCTATGCCAAATATTCTATGTGCAAAGAATTGCCATCTGTGATTTAACGGGAAGCCACGTCCACACGGCCAGCTGGGATGGCCACGGAAGAATCCCAGGAATTTCCGCATCAGCCGTTAGTTTTCCGAAACAAAGGCCCCTGGAGGCCCTGGCTGATCCCCAGGCAGCGTCCTGGGCGCTGTGAACGTTTCACGTGCCCCAGGGGGCCGAGGCTTTAGATGATTTTGTTACTCAGGAAATCAGAGGTCGTCCCTGCTAAAAATGTGGACCATGCAGCAGCCTAGTCCTGGGTCTGTAAGTCACCTTCTCAGCGTCGTAGGCCCATCGTGGGAGAAAAGCGAGAAGAGAGGACGTTTGCCCAGAACAGTCTGACTTTGCCACAACCCCACCAAAGTTGTTCCTGTGTGTTTTCCCTTGGCAGTCGGTGAAGAACACACTAGTCCCTTTATCTTTTTAAAAAAAATATTTTTTCATTGATTTCAGAGAGGAAAGGAGAGGGGGGGGGAGAATGAGAGAGAGAGAGAGAGAGAGAAACATCAATGAAGAGAGAGAATCAGTGATGATTGGTTGCCTGCACACCTCCCTGCTGGGGACCGAGCCTGCAACCTGGGCATGTGCCCTGACTGGAATCGAACCCGGGACCCTTCAGTCCACAGGCCGATGCTCAGCCACGGAGCCACACCGGCTGGGGCCAGACGAGTCCCTTTAGCGAACAGGAGGACAGAGTCCTGGCAGCGGCAGAGGGGCACGGAGACCGTGAGCGTGTCCCAGCCTGCCCCGCCGCGCAGTGTGAAGCCAGCACCTGGTTAGTCCTGTCCCTTAAAACCACACGCCTCCGACGGACGCTGCCCTAAGGTGGCTTTTTAACCTACAGATGGTTCCACTTTTTATCTCAGTACATTTCCCCGTTTGGGGCCTTTGCTAAGATTACATCTTGAAAATACGCTACTTGCAGTTTTCTAACTGGAAGGAATTCTGAGTTTCGTGTTTCTGGTTGAACTTGGGGGAGAAACAACCTTCATTCCTTCCGTTTTAAATGGTTGCCTTTTTACACGTCTGAACGCGTGAACGCGGGGCTCCCCCTCAGCCCCTGTGCCGGCAACAAAGGCAAGGCTACTAGAGTTCTTAGGAGCCGCTCAGAGTTCAAGGCTGTGAGGAGGGAGGGAGAACGGGGAAAAGGCAAAGGATGGGAGTGAGGGGCGGAGGAGTGCTCCCTCGGGGCCACGCAGACTGCCCTCCCCTGGGACAGGCTCCACACCCCGAAAATACCGGGGCGCACCAGCCTGACGCCGACATGACCGTGCAGGGCCCCTCTGCCACCTGACTCCTCGCTCCTGCGTGGCCCTCTGTGTGGTGGTGTCTCCTCCTGGTCGTTGCTGTCTGCCTCGGGCTGTCTCTCTTATTTACCGTCTAAAACGTTCCAGGCTCGGAGGGAGTTGAAACGCTTGAAGGAGGAGGCTAGGCGCAAGCATGCGGTCGCTGTCATTTGGGCTTACTGGCTTGGACTGAAGGTACTTCCTCCCCCTCCTCTCTGTCCAGGGCGGGCTCCGGGGCCTCGCACTCACTAACCCCGAGAAAAGCGGGTGCGCTTGCTCACGGGTCTGCACCGGCTCGGACGGGCCATCTTGCCTAATTGTGTTTCTTTTTGGAAACGAAGCTGTACACTAATATTTTCTGATCTTATTGTGATATGTATTTTTATTTCTTTTTATTATTATTTTTAATCCTCACCCAAGGATATTTTTTCCATTGATTTCTAGAGAGAGTGGGAGGGAGGAGGAAGAGAGAGAGAGAGAGAAAAAAAATCAACGAGAGAGAGACACATCGATGGGTTGCCTCCCACATGCGCTCCGACCGGGGCTGGGACCCTGCAACTGAGGTACGAGGTACGTGCCCTTGACTGGGAGTCGAACCCACGATCCTTGGGTCCAGTGGCCAATGCTCCAACCACGGAGCCAGACCGGCGAGGGCTGTGGTGTGCTGCTTTAAGTGCTAGCTTTAAAGTAATGCCGATGCAACCTATCTTATTTAAGACTGTTTGTTATGAAGTTCTGTTTTATGTCATCTTTAGGGGGATGACATGTTTTTTTAATGCATAAGACAATTTCAGCAGCTGAGCTGGGAGCTGGCCCAGGTCTGCAGTGCCCGCCCAGCCAGGGGGGTTGGGCTCCGATGCCCTTCCCCCACCTCCCCTGCTCTGACCGCTGCTGGGCGGAGCCTTCTCGAAGTGACCCGCACTCTGGTTGCTCAGCATAGGAACCAAGGGATTCCGCTGACGGTACAGATTTTGACAAATAAGAGGACTTTACGTGCCAACGAGGCCTCTAATGCAGCGGTTCTCAACCTGTGGGTCGAGACCCCTTTGGCAGTCGAACGACCCTTTCACAGGGATCGCCTAAGACCATCCTGCATATCAGATATTTACATGACGATTCATCACAGTAGCAACATGACAGTTAGGAAGTAGCAACGAAAATAATTGTATGGTTGGGTCACAACATGAGGAACTGTATTTAAAGGGCCAGAAGGTAGAGTCTAATGTATTTCAGAGTGGTGCTTCCCACTTCAGGTGAGGATGCACGTAGGCAAAGGAGATTCTGAGCTCTGGGAAATCTTGAGAAAACCTCTAGACATTTATAACTAAATGATAATAAATATTTTAAGTATTTTCCCCTCGGTTTCAAAATTTAACTGTATTGTTCATGCATTCAGCAAACACCTGGCACAGGCCTTTTGTTAGACGTTAGCATACAGCGAAAATACAGCAGGGCAGCAAGGAGGAAAGAGGGCTGTCATGTGATGTTTTAAGTGCACGGCAGTATTCTGTAGGAAGGTGAGTAGGAGTGAGGGCGAGAGAAAAATCGATGCAGTGAGAGGGAAGACAATGCTAGTTCAAATCTAATTCTATTATTTTCAGTGCCCTTCCATTTCCATCTTCCTAGGCAAGGCTTTTGGGAACGGCAGTGTAGTTCTTTAGGCCTTTTTTCCCCTTGGAAGAACAATTCGAAATGAAGGTCGCCTTCCGTCATCTTTTCCCGAAGCGTGCTTTGATCTGTGACGCGTTGGCCGCTACGCCTGTAAAATGTTTCTCATCAAATCATCAGGTTTCTGAAAAACGAGTTAAAAGTGTTTAAAATAGCGAAACGTCGGGCATTGCCACCGGGCACATCTGCATTTCTCTTCCTCTGGCCTGATGCTCGGGCCCGGTGTGCGCCAGCTGTCTCGCTCCATCCGAGAGGCACCTGCTGTCGTGTTTAGTGGACGTGCGGGGCCTCCGTGGCGGCCAGGCCCCTGCTGACCCCGCGTCTGCTTCTCCCTCAGGTGCGCCGGGAGTACAGGAAGTTCTTCAGAGCCAACGCCGGGAAGAAAATCTACGAGTTCACGATTCAGAGAATTGTAAGTCTGCGTTCTGCCTGGGGCTCCTTGGCGTCCGTGGGCCAGCTCGTTAACAGCACCGACTGTCATAGGCGACTCCCTTGCCACGCTTCACCCTCGCTGTCACGCTGAGCGGGGTGGCTCTCACCCTCTCCCCTCGCATCCAGCAGAACTGACCCAGGAAGAGCTATCCGGGGCCCACATGTAGTTAATAGGATGTCATTTTTTAAAACTTTTTTATTTGACGGGGAGAACCTACTGTCGGGGAACACGAGCTCGAGAAGGTCGGGTGTCTTAGTTCAGGCCGCTCTAACCACAGCACTGCAGACCGGGAGGCGGCAACGGTGAGCATCTGTTTCTCGCAGACCTGGAGGCGGGCGGCCGAGGGCAGGCTGCGGCTGTGGCGGTGGCAGCGGGGAGGAGAGGGAAGCCGCTGCCGTAACCCTCCCGTTTCCTCTGATCAGGGCACCGGTCCCGCCACGGGAGCGCCAGCCTCGTGGCCTCTAAACTCCATTACCTCCAGAGAATTTGGGGGATACGAAGGTCCTGCCCTGAGCTGCCTCGGGGCCAGGCTGGCCAGCGAGCAGTGGGGAGTGGGGTGCAGGAGAGAAGGCTGTGGTAGGGCCCAGCCGACCAGATGGGCCCGGAGTCCCTGTGCCCTCGGAGGTGAGCACAGTGAGCAGGGCGAGCTCCGGGCCGCTGGCGCCGCCTCTCACAGGTGCGAGGTGAGCGACTCCTCACTCCGGGGCCTCGGCTCGTTCTCGGGGGGATCACAGCGCCGAGCTCACGAGTGCTGGAGGGTTAACTCGGAACAATGGGCTGACGCGCTCCCGCTGGCCCCGCTGGAGGACTGGCGGGCAGCGCCGTCCACTGGGCCTGTGGAAGGATGCAGATGGCTTATGTCGGCGGTGCCAGGGGACAGCCACCGGCCGCATGGCCACACGGGGCTCTGGAGCACCTGAAGTGTCACCTGTCTGATGAGCTGGCTCGTTTACTTTGTTTTATTTGAATTGCTTACAGTTTAAGTAGAGAGAGCCACGTGACTAGCACAGCTCTCTGGTGTTCGCTGGAGTCAGTGTTGCTGTTCATATTGGGACGAGTGTCCGTTTTCTTCTTTCGTCCGAACCGTTGGGTGGAGCCCAGATTTCTGCAGCCAATACGGAGACTGGAGTGGAGACTTCACGTTATATTCTTATTTTCGGGCCTGAGACTGGCCCAGTCCCAGCGGAGGCTGCTCTGTTTCATTCTGATTTATGAAAAACAAGGACTTTTCTGATATTTCACTCCTCTGGTATTTCCTGTCAAACCCAATGCAGGTGCAAAAATACTTCCTGGAAATGAAAAGCAAGATGCCCTCCTTGTCGCCAATAGACAAGAACTGGCCGTCCAGGCCCTACCTGTTCTTGGATTCCACGCACAAGGAGCTGAAGAGGATCTTCCACCTGTGGAGGGTAAAAAGCTTCTTCTTTTTGGAGGCTTCTCACCGCGTGTTCTGTGTGTTTGCGAAGAGTCCTGTGGAAGTGAATGTCTGCCGCCTTTGCCTCTGGCCAGGAGGGAACTGTTTGAGGACGGGAGTATTTTTGCACCGGGGACCGCGCGTGGCTTCCGTGAGAAGTCCTGGAGCAGCAGGCGTGCCCCGAGGTCTCCTCCTGTCCAGGGAAGGGGTGTGCGTGGCTGTGTGGTCTTTCCCGTTCAGATTCCACTTGCCTTAAAGCGGTTCAGATTTTTGTTTGTTTTCATCCTCTCTGAAGGAATGATACTAGAGGAGAAAGAAATAATAACATGTGAACAAATTCGCACGATGCGGGTGAATCCTGTAAACTACGGGTTTACAGGATGGTTTTCTTACTGCGAGTCTCTAAGAGGGTGGCGGCCTGGGGGCTGGGGTGGCAGGGACCGCCATCGTAGTGAGCAGATGTGAGAAGCGAGGCCGGCCTGCAGGACGCTTCTGTGTTTGGGAGGAGTGTCCCAAGCCGGCACTGTGAGCAGTGAACCCGGCAAAGGAACAACGCTGTGAGGCTTGTACACGCGTAGTTCGTTCACGTTTATTCTCGCCGCTGCTACATCGACGTACTCCATGTAAGAGTGAGCGGTGGCCTGTTTGTGTAAGTGATGCCTTGCTTTTCCTCTTTTTCGTGCCTCGCAGTGTAAGAAGTACAGGGACCAGTTCACAGACCAGCAGAAGCTCATCTACGAGGAGAAGCTAGAAGCCAGTGAACTCTTCAAAGACAAGAAGGCTTTGTACCCGTCGAGGTACGGTGGCTGTGCTAACTCATGGCAGTCAGCATTTTGGAAACTTCTCAAGTATTTGCAGGTCCTTTCTAGTAGAGATTTCGGAGATGCATGAGAGATGTTTAATTCTACGCGTTATTTTATGAGCAGCTGGGTATAAATAACACACACTTCGGAGCAATGGCCGTTTCTTGCCTCTATTCCATTGGCATTAGCTCGAACACTTCACTGAATAATTAGAAGTCACATCCGGCTGCCGTGGCTCAGTGGTTGAGCGTCGGCCTATGAACCAGGAGGTCATGGTTTGACTCCAGCTCAGGGCACATGCCCTAGATGCGGGCTCAATCCCCAACAGGGGGCGTGCAGGAGGCAGACAATCGATGTTTCTCTCTCCTCCCTTCCTCTCTGAAACTAATAAAAACATATTTAAAAAATAATAATAATTAGAAGTCACTTTTTGAAATGAAAATCGTATAGGCTACCAAGATAAATTGGCATTGTAAAGCCCTGTTACTTTCTTGTAGTTTTCAGAGTCTAGCCCAGTTTCTGTTGGCCATTTACTGTCATCGCCATTCCAGTCTTCCTACTTTATTTAATGAGCTGGGTCAGAATTCATTTTTTTTATTTTTTATTTGTTTTTTTAAATTTCTAGTTGGGGAGGGAATTGTTTTCTCACCTCTGGGCTGCTGCTCCCTCTCCCTCCCCTGTCCCTGCTGGCTGGCTCAGTGGTTGGGGCTGCAGTGAGTACAGGAGAGGGACAGGGTCTGCGGGGTAAGGATGGGGCGGGTGGCTCCTCCTGCCTGGGAAGGAGACCCCACATCGCCTCGATGCCAAGGGGAGGTCTGTCCAGGTCCACTTCTCGGGAAAGCAGGTGCATCACAGGGAGAATTCATTTTTAAGAGCCATGAAAAGAGCGAGCCAGTGTACACTTTCTGAGTTCTGCTCGGGCGCTGGCCTGTGGTAGCCCACAGGCTGCTAACCCGCCGGGCACGACTGCCGAGGCCCGTGCAGCGAGATCGGCTCCTTTGTTGTAGACACGAACTACTCAGTAAAGGAAGGCATCCCCAGGGCAAGTTCGCCACGCGAATTCCTCTCCCTGATCAAGACGCTCGTCGGATATCCTTACACGCCCCCCCCCCCAAGTTCATCATTTCCCCCCAGAATTCCTATCTCCTTTTCATCTGGTATTTATGAAAAGATAGGTTGTACCGTTTCAGGCCAAATCTATACCAACTTTTCGTTTCCCCCAAAGAATGGCCTAGAAATGAAAATGCATTACACGCTAAATATATTCACACGTCTTCCATATGGTACATCTGTATTCTCTGTGTCTTCACACACATTTGAAAGCTCTTCCTTTTAGAGGATTAAAAGAACAGAAGCCGGCAGACCCATTTGGTTTGAATGTTTGAAGGGACACAGCTTCCTTGTGAGCTGGCCTGGCGGCTCGAGGTGGCATGTATTCTTCCAAGTCAAACATGGCGTCTCGATCCCACGTCGGCCAGGAGGCCTGCTGTATGCGGCATACGCAGGCGGGAGCACCGTCTCTATGCTTTCTCAGCAGCTAGTTTTATTTAACGTTTTCCTTTATATTTTTAACATGTAGAGTAACCTTCTTAATTAACATTCCCTGTGGATGACTCTTAACTGGGGGGAGAAAAATGCATTTTTGGAGAAACCAGTTCAAAGGCTCTTAGCACTTTTTATTATTAAAAACACATTTGAATGTGAACAACAACAAAAATGTTAACAACGTCAAGCCAAATGGGGGGGTGCGGGGTATCGCCCACGGCAGCCGGGGTGGGATGATTGGCCCTCCCTCCGCTGCGAAGGGCAGCCCATGGTGTCGGCCTTGTCCATCCGGGTGTACCCTCCCCCCCTCCACTGTGTGAAGCTCGGCCCATGGGTGTCGGCCTCTCCTCTCCTGGGAGCTGTGAAACTGACCACCTACACGGATTTTTCTTCCCCATCCTCCACCCACAACACAAGCGTTTAAAGTTGTATTTGCAAATTGCCAGAACTTTCCGGCTCAGAATGAAGCGGTAGGGTTTTTCTGTTTTGTTTTTGTTTGTGTGCTTGTGCGTCCTTGAAGAAGCTGTCCTGAGCGTGTCCCCCAGCAGGGCTCGAGGGAAATCGTGTCTTAACGTATGCGCACGGTCACGCCTCTTGTGGGAAGCACTTTGTTTGAAAGAAAACTGCTCCGGTTCTGAGTCTTTACGTGGCCACTTCTGTCCATTTAGGGGCACATCGTAGGAGGAGGCCTGATTTTTCTTTCATGTGTTGCCTCTTGGAGCCAGAATTTCTATAGTTTTCTTCTAAGACCTATCGCTCTGGACCTGTTCTCCCCCCAAAGGTTATTGGTTTTCTTACTCTGCAAGAAAATGGGCTTTTTCTTTGGATCAGGTGATGCGATGGTTTGTGCTCTTTGTTCCATTGCTGCACGTTGTTTAAAGGCGTTAATAAGCCCTTTGTGGGTAGCTGTGACCTTGATAGTCACAGATCAGAGGAACTGCCTTTTCCTTCAGGTGAGCCCTGCACTTGGGTCTTGGGTGTCATTCATACGAGTGATTTTTATCTTGATTGTTCCTTATCAAAGTCCTGCCTCCCAAATGCCAGGATCACATCAAAAGTATTTGAGCCTGGGCAGTGTTGCTCAGTGGTTGGGCATTGATCCATGACCCAAGAGGCCACTGGTTCGATTCCCGGTCCAGGTATATGCTCAGGTTGTGGGCTCGATCTCCAGTGGGGGGTGTGCAATGATGTTTCTCTCTCATTGATGGGACCTGTTCTCCCCCCGAAGGTTATTGGTTTTCTTACTCTGCAAGAAAATGGGCTTTTTCTTTGGGTCAGGCGATGGCGATGGTTTGTGCTCTTTGTTCCGTTGCTGCACGTTGTTTAAAGGGATTAATAAGCCCTTTGTGGGCAGCTGTTACCTTGATAGTCACAGATCAGAGGAACTGCCTTTCCTTCAGGTGAGCCCTGCACTTGGGTCTTGGGTGTCATTCATACGAGTGATTTTTATCTTGATTGTTCCTTATCAAAGTCCTGCCTCCCAAATGCCAAGATCACATCAAAAGTATTTGAGCCTGGGCAGTATTGCTCAGTGGTTGGGCATTGATCCATGACCCAAGAGGCCACTGGTTCGATTCCCGGTCCAGGTATATGCTCAGGTTGTGGGCTCGATCTCCAGTGGGGGGTGTGCAATGATGTTTCTCTCTCATTGATGTTTCTATCTCTCCCTTTCCCTTCCTCTCTCTCTCTAAAAAAAAATTTAAAAAAAACATATTTAAATACATATATATATATATGTGTGTGTGTGTGTGTGTATTTGAAATAGGTTTAAGGCTCTATTTCCAACGTATATTTAGGACAGATGCAAATACGACGTATAAAACATAAAATAAATTTCCTTTTTACGGAGCCGGCAGACACTCTTTGGAATCGGCTGACTGTTGTCTGTGTCCGGCAGTACCTCCATCTGACACCGGGTCCGACGTGAGGGATTTGGTTTTTTCCTTCCTTTTTAGTGTTGGCCAGCCCTTCCAAGGCGCTTACCTGGAGATCAACAAGAACCCCAAGTACAAGAAACTCAAAGACGCCATTGAGGAAAAGATCATCATCGCGGAGGTTGTCAACAAAATCAACCGTGCGAACGGGAAGGTAAAGGCTCGCCCCGCAGACCCGGGGGCGCGTTTGTCGCTGGGACCGTCCCTGTCATCTTCCGAATGTTAACGTTTGCATTTCACGACTGTGAGGGGCGCTGTCTCCCAGCCTGTAAGGTTCAGAGGCATGTTATGAATGGCTGCTGAGGAAACGCGTGTGAATTGAAATGTCTTGCCTGTGCTTCCTGTGTTCTCGGTTCGCATAGGTGTGCCTGCTGAGGGGTATTGGGATGAAATACACATTTCCGCAAATAACGAATGCCTTACACTCACGGGCCGTTGGGGGTGTTTTCCATCGCCGGGTTTGCATCCTGTTTGGTTTGGTTTTGTTTAGAGCACCTCCCGGATCTTCCTCTTAACAAACAACAACCTCCTCCTTGCCGATCAGAAGTCTGGCCAGATCAAGTCGGAGGTCCCGCTGGTGGATGTGACCAAAGTGTCCATGAGCTCGCAGAACGATGGCTTCTTTGCCATCCACCTCAAGGAGGTAAGGAGCCCACCGCCAACGTGACCGGCAGGCTTCTGCCTGTGTCCGCTCTCTCAGCCGTCGAGGTAACAGGATCCAAACCCGAATGATCTGCTGCTTGGAGATCACATGCTCTCCTTACTGATGGAAAGTTATGGCTACGTTCCCTGCTGGGTAGAATCTCAGGCTCGGTTTCTCAATAACTGAAGGAGATGAGTCGCTCGGTGGCTTGTTCGCTTGAGCCACAGTCTCACCGAGTAGCTGTCGCTGCGCTAGGATTGTTTCGAGCATAAATGGGTGGAACTATGAAGCGGTTTCAAACGAAGCTTCCTCCTGTTGTTTCATCCACATGCCGACCTCGCAAATGTCTTGTTCGTCCTTGATCTCGGGGTTTTTTACGTAAAGAATGTGACTGCAGTCAACTGCCTGACATTTGGACCTGAAGATGTTTTATGTTCTGTGCTCTTAGCTTAACCAGGACCTTCCTGACTTGAGCCCCTGGAGCCGGCCTCACTGACTTCGCAGTGACTCTGGCCAGGCCGTGTAGCTGTCACGTGCCTGCCTCATTCTTCTCCTCTGTAAAATGGGGAGAATAGCGGCACCTGTTTCATAGCGTTGTTCTAGGATTAAATGTAAAGCGCTTCACATAGGGCTTGCCACCTAGCAGTCACCAAATGAACGTGCCAGCAAACAGTCCTCACAGTTAGCGACACGCGTGTAGCTAGTAGTGCGCCTCGCTAGCGGAGTCTGACCTTGAGACAATCCCGTAGGCCTAGTTCAGCCTGTTTGCTCCGCTGTGGCTCTGGGCCTGATGGCAGCATAATCAGACCTCGATGATTCTGAGCCCCGACCACACGTGACAGCAACGCTGCTGCCCACAGCCCCGTCCAACCAGGTCAGGTCTGGGAGGGGCGCCAGCACCCGGCTTTTCAGAAGCTTCCGGTGGGACCCTCGTGCAGCTGAGCAGAGGCACGGCCTGGGGATGTCTGTTGGGGTTGTTACTGCTCTGATTTCTTTAACCGAATCACCGGGGAGTGTTTAAGCAGCGCTTTGAGAGTGCGTTCCCGGTGAGGGCAGTGCTCGGACCTGTGCGTGGGAGCAGGGGACCGGGAGCCGCCGCGGGTCCGTGTC